CGCCATATTTAAAAAAGTGAGAGAGGCTGCGGAGTGCAATGAATGACTTGGCCGTACAATACTGTTTCAACGTATTAAAATTAGTTTAATCGGAAACCAAGGGCACCTGTATTCTTTGTGTTTCAGATCTGATATCCTTGTTATTAGCATATTTAATTAGAATGTTTAATAATAATAATGTAACTAATGGAGATTTATATAATTTACATAACATTGCACATTAATTAATTTCAGTTAATTAATAATACACAGACTATATCCCCAGGCACTGTATGGTCTCTCAATGAAAACGTATTCGAACAGAGGGCAAACGTGATTCAGCCTTTCATAATTAATTGAGATATTTCAAAGATATAAAAAAAAATTAAAAATTACTAACTCAATAAATCATTTCGGGGATAGAGGACTTAAGCAGAAAACTGTCCCCTTAAAATGAAGTGCGTGCGGGTGAATAACAGGTGCAGGTGAATAACAGCTTGCAGAGGGGGGAAAGGTGTCTTTTTAGATATCTGCTATTTTCGGTAACCTGACTCAATGTCAAATACCTGATTGTGAAACGAACACATGCAGCATGCAGAGAGTCGGACAAGGGAACAGGCCTCATATTAGGTTGCTCTTGGCAGGCTTTTAAAAATGAGGTCTTGTCAAGTAATGCTGAGTTCTGAAAGTAGGATTAGTGCTAGGATGTCTTTTACAAAAGGCTATAGGTCACCACACATGGCTTATAAAAGTAATCTTCAGAGGAAGCCAGAGACAGCTGTTTGGTTGAGGCTGTGCCTTGTCTTCATCACTCTTGATTTTTTTTTTTTTCTGATTTTTTATTCTTGTGAGTTTTCTGTGTAATGCTGGGGGGGAATATACTTTTGGAGGAAACATTTTACATTATTCCTTTCTTTGGCACAGAGTTTACTGATCGCTGGATTAACTGTTACCAAGAAAAAAAACCCAATAAGGTTATTCACTAAAATAAATATGGTCGTGAATTCAAAGTGATTTTAAAATTTAAGGTCAAAGTAACTGAATTGGAAATATTCTCCAAGCCAGCTGTGCTTTCATTTCAACTAATTTGGCCTTACATTTGTAGCTACCACGTAAAGGTATGGCGGATGGATAATCTTTTTCTGAATAAAATAAAATATTATCTTCATTGAGTGTCCTTACATTTTCTAAAAGGAAATACCTGTGTAACTGCTTTGCATTAGATGAATTACGATGCACTTTTAGCAGCCTACCAGTAAAAATACAAGATTGTATCTAAAATGTATATTTCAAAATGGTTAACTACCGAATCAGAGGTAAGTGTACATAGTACATATTACTTGCTTTAAGAGCTTACTTGTTTTTTTTCAGCTAGTTGCACAGCTGCAGCCTGCTATCCTGAGATTACAAATGGTACCTACTCATTGTACCTAAGCAACACACCAGGGCTGACATTACAGTTACTTTTTTTTAAAATATATCCTTCTTGAGGACATGTCAGACTCCCTTGTTCTTTCTTGTTCTCCTTTTTGCCTCACCTGTTTCCAATAAGCTCCAGAAGGCCTCTTGTGGCTAATCTGTTCCCCATGATCTCCCAAATATCCCTCTACTAGCCTCCCCTTGTATTCTCAATGATTCTTATTCTGTCCTCCATATTCTCAGTAAGCCCAAAAGTAACCTTCCCTGTTTTTTCAGTTGCTACTCTTGTGGACAAGAGTTGTTCCCCTTGCTGTCCCCAATAAGGTCTTGCCTGTCTTTAGTGTGTTCTATTTAAAAATAATATCAGGAAGTATTACTTTGCTGAGAGGGTAGTAGATTCATTGAATAGCCTTCCAGATGAAGTTGTAGAGGTTAACAGAGTGAGGGGGTTTAAGTATGTGTGGGATAGGCAGAAGGCTATTCTAGATATATAAGTATTTAGGAAACTGGGCACACTAGATTGGCCAAATGGTTGTTATCTGCCATCACAATCTATGTTTCTGTTTGCCTTTCCCTATATGAATTATTTCTAATTGTTCCCTCCTCGTACCTCCTGTAATCCTAATTGTTCAGCTAAGAGCAGCAGCAGTTACAGTGCAGAATTTAAGTAGTATTGTGTGAACAAATCCTAATCTGCCAATCACAGTGACGGGATGCATTCAATCCGCAGACACTGTGTCTCTTACACAGTAGCAGTTAAGAAGCCCCTTACAGTTCTCCATTCTGCCTGTGTCCCTGCTTGTCACAGCTCCTGGCAGCTCTGGGCTATCCCCCAGCTGACAGCTCTAAAGAATATCCACAGGCAAAAGATGAGTATTTCAAGGGCTTTGACATAGCATTCATAAAACAGAAGCATCCTTATATGGCTCTCCAAATGAACTAAGGTTAATGGATTGAAATTAGAGACACCTGTGCAAGAGTCTATTTCATTCCCTGTAGTTGGATCAATGTTCCTGAAGATGCAGTGTTTGTTCTGTAATTAGCTGAGTGATCAGCTCTACATAGTGGGTATCAAGATACATTTGACTGATTGTACTTGATATAGTCTGCAATGATGCCAAATATAGGAAGGTGGACCAAGTAGTCTGTTCACCATGGGGCATCAGTATCAATTATAATAATGTTGATTAGCAAAGGGAAAGCTTTCTAGGACAAACTATAGTGCACAATGTAGTCTGTATGCTCATCCAGTCAAATGGTTGGCTGTGCATTGTTGGGGACATTGTATATAAAACCTGCCATTGGAATTGAGGTACTGTGACAAAGTGGTGGGTTTAACGTATAGTGGAACTGAATCGCCATGTTTATTTACTGAGATAAATGATTTTAAGTAGCCTTGTAAAGTGTAAAACTGCATTTGTGTGTGTTTGCTGTCCCTTAAACTGTATTTCCTATAAAACCTGGCACATCAGGGGTTAACCAACAATGACAAAGATCACGTGTGATATTCCCGCATGTAAACATTTTTGTTTATTTTAATTAAATAACTAGAAATACGAGTTCATGTAGAGCCGTTTCCTTATTTGACAATTTAATGAATATTGACTGGATCATTACTAAAACAAACCTCGAGAAGGTTAATTAATTGCATACTTCACATGAGCTGCATGTGTTTGGCAATTAATCATATTTTGATTAAGTCACTAATTGCAATTTGAGAACTCTCTGTATTTGCGTCTGTCAAGAAATACAATATAAAGATTCTTTTGGGGCCTATTCACAAAGGTGTGATTCACTCAACGACTGTGAAATGTCCTGCTACTCAGTTTCCGTATCTGAATTTTTAAATAAAGTTATTCAATCAGTATTATTATTATTTTTTTTTCATATGGTAAAACATGTTCCCCAGAGAGGTACAATGGAGAGAAACATTACAAGTATATGCTGAGATTCTCCAATACCTATTGTATATTTTATGTATATTGATAATTTCGTTGTTTCCTTCTGTACTGTCACAGTATTCATATTGCATTTCAATGGATATATTTGTCCATTTTGTTTGTACCTATTACCTTTCTATAGCCGATACTAGTTGATATTCTTTTGTGATGTACAATTGTGTTATCTGACTAAATATAAAATAATAAATGAAGCATATTTGGAGACCGTTAAAGGTTTAGATAAACTGGAAGAAAAACCAGCTGTTATTTGGCCTCAGAATCCCTACTCAGTTTTGGTACCAGAATTATGCTGATATCACTTTAATGACTTGTTTGGCGATATGTACTTACATTCTTCTTGAAGGAACTATTGCGCATTAAACATCCTCACAAAGACTTACCATAGCTATTAATATAGGTGGTCCAGCACTAACAATCCTCTCCCCATCAGCCCTGTCTTGGGTTTTACTGGTAGATTGAAAAGAAATACTTATAGAGATGATGTTTGATGTGTGAATGTACAAACCTACTGTATAATTCATGATATACTGAAATTAAGCATTGTGTTTTTGTTTAATTGTAGGATACTGTGTCTGTTTTACTTGCGCGATTTTTGGGGCATATTTTATATTCCAAATAAAAAGTTAAAAAATCCTCACAAATACTTTCTTGAATACATTTTACTTTTCATTTGTGTTGTAGTTGTTGCTATTTATTTTTCATTAGGTGTTTTAATTATTTTCCTTTGGAACAAGATCGAGTGATTATCTCCTAGCTGCAGCCTTGCAATCTATATTCTTCTACATAAACGCCCTTGTGTGGATGACAAGGTCACTTTAAACTGGTAGGCATGCATAGGCAAATAAAATGCATGCTGGCATTGATTTAGGTGTGAGCCTTGCCACTCTATTGAAATGTTCTTGGTATGTTATTGGTAGTGATTGTGCCACGTTAAGGGATCACTAGTGGTTGCTGTCACCAGACAGAATGAGTGGCATCCCGGCTCTGCCATTTATCTTTAACCAATGTTCTGTCTGTCTGTTTATCTCTCTCTCTGTCTACTGATAGATGTAATTGTAGATTTAATGGTGGTTTCCTAATTTGTGAAGCAAGACTGTCAAGAAGTTCTATTTAATAAACGTGCTAAATGGTTTTTTTTTACAACATAATACAACTTAAAAATTAATGCATAAATTATAAGACAAATAATATATTTCTATGTATGTACAAGCATCTAATAGAAAATAAACTGTCCTAATGGTACTGACTTTTATATTTGTAATTCTATTAATATTTGTTTTGTTTTTACAATCTGTGAAACTGAGGAATGTGAAGAGTAAACTTGTGCCACCAATATAGGATCTATTTTTGTGTGTGCTGACAATCAGCAATCTTATAGTGTTTAATTCCACTGGATGAGGCTGCATTAAAAGGCGTTGTGCCTACAAATTCATGGCAAAGGTTGATTCATGACAATAAGGATTTTTCAAACAGCATAGCATTAGCATTAGAAAAGCAGTGGAAAAAAAGGATATGCCACCATATACCTAGAATAAATTGGGTGGAATCTGAAAATCTAATATATTTTTTTCCATACAAACCTAGAAGCACTCTCTGTCTGATTTGCTGCCTTAAATCACAACGAAAGAGATTACATTGTGAGCCAAATCTAATTAAAAGAAAACAGGAAAGTTCACACAAAGTGACCCATACTTGCCAGTCACATATTTGGTTGGATAGTCCTAATTTTGTGCCCCTGTCTTGTCAGTCCAATATTGTTTCCAACACTGAGCTTTATATGGCTATATTTTTCCTCATTTGGTTGTCCCGCTGGGCAGCCTGTCAGCCTAATAAGAATGTATGAGATGCCCATTTACTTTTGTGTATGTCCTAAGTAATGTGAATTGGATTATGGATAGACACACAACCTCTTGTCCATTACTGACTCATTAAATATGACGCATCAACTTTTATTTAAAACCAAACTTAAAGCAATACTCCAGGCACCATATTCAAGTGTGTCCTGGCTCCCTCTCAGGGTAAGTAATCAAACTGTTTGATAACAGTTTTTAAACTTACATAAGGGTCTGCCAGTCACTGGCAACGATGGTTCGTTAGCTCCACTGAGCTAAGCCCTGCTGTGCAGAGCTATATCATTGGCTGAGAGTGTCACTGAGAGTGTCACCTGGGCACTATCAGCCAATGAATTAAGTCTTGCAATCACTGGACATGGCTCAGTGCAGGAAGCTTTCGGAAGCAAAGGGGAGGCCACCGCTGGCACCATAACCACTTCAATGCATTCACAAGATGAATAACTGTTTACTTACAAACTCTACAGGAGATTGTTCTGACTTGGTAACTACCTCTGATTAGTTCATATTAGCTGTTGTTAGTTAAGGGAAAGTATGGGGTATGGTCATAAGAAAGGCCAAGTTTATTCATGGTGTTGCACTTTTGCTGTAAGTGGTGAGTTGTACAGCGCTGCGGAATTTGTCGGCGCTATATAAATAATAATAAATGGATACTGAATTCAGACAAGTCAGTCCCTGTGTATTTGTATTGCTGAGCATCCAAGTAGTACCTGCCACTTTCCTGATAATCCTGATAAAGAGATATTTGGCACTGACATTAGAGAGTGGAGGGTTTTCCTGTCACTGACTCTCCAGGGACCAGAGAGCAGCCCAAGCCTGCAGCTGGAGGAAGGCTAGAGTGTTGTTGACATGGCAACCATATTAGGGACTCCCAGTCGAATGATTTGTTTATTAACTTCAGAATTGATTAATGCATGATGGCAACAGGACAGAACGAATAAAGACAAGGAGTCTTCTGCCTGCAGCTTTTACATTAATTTATTCACCTGAATTTAGCTGTGTGTGGGTTTTTAAGACTATTTAGTATGTTTGCAACCCATAGCCATAAATAAAATACATTTGTACATAGAATATGTTACAATGAATATGTTACAGCACTATAGCAGAGGCATGTTGTGGCAAAGATATAGACGCATATTGGTATTGAGGAAGCAGATTGGTCGCTAGGTACAGATTAAGTCGCTGTGGTAATTATTAGACGTTTAAGAAACGCACGCATTTGTACGCACCGGAAAAGCAACAGGCATCCAACATGGAGAGCTGGGGCTGAGGGGGGACAGCTATGTACAAACATTCACCTAGGCCAATCCTAAGCTCCAACCTGCATTTGACCACCAGCAAGCCAGCTCCACATTAACTTTAAAATGTAAAAAAACACCCACAATGTTTTCAGTGTTTATAAGAATATTTATTGCACAAATTTGTAAACTGTATGTTTTGAGATTTGAGACTACAGTGGAGTCTAATTGGCCCTGGAGAGGGGTCTCTCTAACACTCTGACCCCCATGTTATAGCAATATAACATAACTTTCTGATACCCAGCCCAAGTTGGCTCTTCTTATCTTAATTGCTGGCTGTTATTGCTGGCTGTTGTGGCTGGTTGACAGGCAGGGCACTGGCTGCTGTGGCCTGTTTCTCCCCAAGCCCCTTTGTGTGTCTTTTCTTCCCCTTCCCTTTCTGTGTGTCTGGTTGACCACCAGCCCTCCTATTTGCCTCTTTGTCCCTCCCCACCCCTCCTATTTGCCTCTTTGTCCCTCCCTACACCCTTTGTTTGTCTTTTTCCTCTTCCCCAGCCCCTCTGAGTGTCTCTTTGCCCCCCAATCCCTCTGTGTGACTCTTTGTGCCCCCAGCACAGATGTGTATCTTTTCCTCTCTCCCCTCCTAAGCCCTTCTTTTGTCCCATCCCGTCCTGTGCTCTTCTTTTACCCCCCAGTCCGACTGCTCAGCCATGCTACATGCAATGAACGGCAAGAGGGAAACTCTGTGCAGTGGACTCACCTCCTGCCAGTCACCGGGAGATCAGGCCACGTGGGCACCCCAATGATGACTTGCACTCCCTGCACCCTGCTTAGTACGGCCAACAATGATCTGTGTTGTGAATGTAATAAGTACTGTCTCTCGCAGCTACTTGCAAACAGCTCCAGGGCAATCATACATACCCATCATAATCCGGTCCTGTTTAGCCCACAGATACTGCAAGTCCAGGAATTCTGAGATTGGGAGTAAGAAGGTTGCCTATCTCTGTGCTAGACTGTAAGCTCTTTTGAGCAGGGTACTCATCAAACTAATGTTCCTGTAACTTTTTGTAATTGTCTCATTATTGTTAAATGATATTGTAAAACACTGCAGAAAAAGATGGTGCTATCTTAATGGCAAAATTAGTAATAATAATAATGCAAATGCTGTGACGTGTAGTATGTAGTGACTGGTTGAGAAACATTGTAACTTGATGTAGATGAACATTCGTTCTCGTACGCAGAGCTTTCTCCCATTTGTCTTAACATAAAACCACAGAATGGCTAAAATGTAAAATGCTGGACCTACTAGTGTCTGTGAATAGGCTTGGGATAGCTTGAAAAGAAACACAAATGATGGACGAGATGACGTCAGGTTAGATACTTAAAAAGGAACTTTGAACTTGGAAGGATGATAGGGGCATGACAAGGGAAAAGCAGAGGTGTTTGGGCAGACAGCATGAATGGGGATTGTGCGAGGACCAATCATAGGGAAGTGTGTGACAGATTGCAGAAAGTGGAGGGTTACTCAGATGGGGTGATAGGTGAGAGTCTGGAGATAAACTGAAAGGTGGGGGTGTAGGACTTGCCTTGACGAAGTTTGCAGCGTTTAGGTCAGTAACGTAGGGATCTGGGGTTTGTCTTTTAGGGTGGTGTCGATGTTACATTTTTTATGTCAATGAGATAAAAAAAAAAGACAATAATAAATGTGAAGAATTATAAAGCGTTATAGGGTAGTATTAGAGTAATTAGAATGGTCTATTATGAGAATTAATTGATTTTGTTTTTAAATGTTGGACTTGCGTTAAGATTTTAATTGAAAAAAGATGTCAGATGGAAAAACAGTAAACCCATGTTTTACTCTGTTTACTTGTTATAGAGTATGACAGAATGTGCCAAAATCATATGAAACTCAATAGCTTTACTCCAAATGACACATCTTCTCTTCTCGTTACACCCTTTCGTGGTCATTCTATCAAGGTTCTTCTTGTCTTCCATTTATACCATATGCCGCCTAGGTTACGTTTTGGGTTTTGTGTGATTTTTGTAACTCAGAAAAGTGTTTGGTTTATTTCTAGTAAAACATGTATTTTGTGGAAAGTGTGAGAAAGATATCATGGGTCACATTTTGTCACCTTCACGTCTTGCAAGTTTACAATCCCGGATCTGGCATTAGAAGGATTCATTTTCTCCTAGTGCTAAGGAAACCCTTTAAATCACAGATCGTGGATGTACTTCACAATTACCTTTTCACTATCAGAATAAGGGAAAGGGGAAAATGTATGCTAGATAAAAAAAAATAAAAAATTATATATATATATATATATTTTTTTTAAAAATATTCTTTCCTAAATGGGGATAAAAGACAAAATAAGTTTAGATGTAAAATGAATGCATATTTATCATATTTTAGTGGTCTTTTTTTTGGTGTTCTTAATTTAAAGCATGTCCTTATTCGCTGGATCTATTAAAGTGTCAGAATTCTTTCTACACAGTAGGTGGTGAAATAAGTTTAACCCATTCATGACAAGTTGTTAATCATCTTTTACATCATCCTATTCATCAAATAAGTTATCATGGAGTGAATTGATGATGTTATTTTACATTTGGCTATTTTGGTATGTTATGTTTTTGGCTAGTTGCCAGTTCCCCAACATTAACTGTTTATTAACTACACGTCATGGAAAAATTGACTATTTTTCTGTAAATGTAATTTGAATTCAAATCAGAATGAGTTTAAATACAAGGAATATAATGTCTCTCACTGTTGTTAAGCAAGACAAGCTTGACAAGACAATCAAGTTAGACCAAAAGAGGTAGAAAGTCCCAATAAGGGACTGGTGGTGTGTAAAGGGAACCTCAAAGTGAAGATCCCTAAAAACTCAAAACTCAAAACACAAAAAATGACCCATGGACTTAAAAAAGGTCACTTCTAGATATGGAGAATGAAATAAAAACTCAATAAGACAAAACACATAGAAGCCCATACAAAGAGCCTAACGGTTTAGATGATAATGAGGGTCGGAGGGTGAATATAGGGTTCAACGGAGCTTATTCAAGAGAGTGGGTTACAGGGCAGACCAAGTGTGAAACTTAGAAAACAAGCCTAATATGCCATTTGTATGGGGGAACACAAGGTTTATAGGCATAGGAGGAAATGTTTAAGACTTGTGGGATGTAATACAATCATGCCCCTACTTATAGCCTGAAGACACCTAAGTCCACCAATAAGAGTGCCCCAAATGGTAAGCTTGTCTAAGATGGACCCGGCAGGTCTAACAAGTTTACAGCTAATGGTTGGATAATAACAATGTAGCCACCTGAAAAAAATGTTGCAAACAAGTCCTTGTAACCTGGCCAAAAAGACAATTGGCACAGCCTTCATAAAGGTAACTTGAAATAGAGTCAACTTCAAGGTCACTATCTAACAAACTTTTAAGCAAGAGAAGGCTGTAAACTGCATATAAAAATGAACCCAATTTTATAAAGCCTTGCCTGCCCATCATGCTCCCATTGGTTATCCCTAAAGAGATCCCATCCTGGCAAAAGCTATCCTCACACAAAAAAATAAATATATCTGCAACATCCCTTACACAGCTAACATCCGTGACAAAAACAAAAGTGAAGTGTGATTAAAAACAAAAAAACAACAACTTGCGTTTCAGCGCTGGAAAAGCGCCTTCGTCTGGGGCATACCCTGTAACCCACTCTCTTTAAACCCTATATTCACCCTCCTACCCCCATTATTTGCTGAACCATTAGGCTCTTTTTA